AGAGATCATTTTTGCCAAAGTACTTCCAAGAAGCTTTACTGCAGAGCTGGATCTTCGGGCATGCTAAGACTTCTCCAGCGGCCAACGAAGAGAACGGTCATTCTTGGCAGAGTGGTGTTGGACAAAACAGTGACAAGTGCAGAAGTATGTGGATGTTCAGGTATTTTTATGAGGCTGGTATGTAAGTTGTCGTGTAACCAACTCTATATTTTGAATATTAATCTTTGGGGGAAATTGGCTTATGGAACCATCTCCTGACAGAAGTACTAAGAGCTCATGAAGTTTCTGCTGCCCACAACTCTTGGTTGGCTTATACAGCTGGGATATATTAACATACTTATGTTTCAGAAATTTTGATGTATTTGGTCATTCACATTAGTACTTTTTGGATTTCCCAGAATTATTTTATCCTTCATGGATGACAATTATGTGTATATACAACCCAGGATGACCAAAATCATAGGACTGGCTTTTGTTGTCATATGTGCTCTTTCCTTATGGTCTTCACTTCTCAGAACTGGCCTGGGCTGTGAACTTGATCAGACCCGAGTTACTAGGTCCTCAGTGGCCTTAGAGCATTGTGGCACAGAGCATGAAGTCCTAGCTCTGGGGATGGATAAATGGCCTAGGAAACAAGGGCATCACCTGGGACCATGCTTGGCTAAGTCAGGTGGGTGAGCCAGTCAGGAGAGCACCTTTCCTGGTCCGAAGAGGAGCACAAGGAAAGAGCCTTGTGAGTTCCAGGACTAGCAGTGCACATGCTCTAAAAAAATACGAAGCCCAGGAAGGAAAGCATGTTGAAGAATGGAGACATATTTGACCTTTAGAAGAAATGGCATATGAGAACCACTCTCTCTGTGTCTGCTGTGGCTCGGGTGATCAGATAACTCATGGTCCAAACTAAGACACCCCGAAAAAAGGGAGCTTGAATTAGAATGATGCCAGGACAATAGGTATAAACTGGGACTGCCCTGGACCTATGGTCACCTTGACTGTGGCTGTTTAAAAAAAGATTTGTCTTTCATCTGACCACTAACCAATAAAAACCTCTGGTCAGAACCTGCATCTGCTGTTTCCCACGGAGCCAAGGAGCTGGGCTGTGGTTTTTTCAACGTCTTGGCCACCTATAAACTCCAAATCTAGGGTAAAAAAAATAAACCAGCTCTATTTACTTTTGTCCTAAGAACCAGGGCCCTAGGGGCATACTGAGGAACTAAACCATACCTGCTCACAGGGAACTACTCTAACCAAAGTCTCTTCTATCCAGCCCTTCCCAGCCTTAAATATGACAAGCTCGGCCACAGGGAGGACAGTGGTAGTTTTTCCAAACCAGCTGTGAGCCCTTCCTACCCACCCCCCACCCCCAGGCTCTCAGGACAGATGGAACGAATGGTATAGGAAAACACTTGTAGGTAAGAAATGTTTTTCCCCTTTTATAGGAAAAAAGTACACAGTAGTGTTGAAACAGTTCAAGTTTAATTTGTTGCTATATGGTCTGTACTTAGACAAACACTAAGTTCTACAACATATATAATGTCAACATGGGAAAATACCAACTTTGTCATTGCACATACCAGTAAATAAATACATTTGCTCAAGAATACCAAAGAGTTTATTCAAAAAGTCACTTAATAAAAGCACAGTTTTGCAAGTTTGTCTAAAACTCCAGATAATTTGGAACAAAAATAAAAATGACCACTCCAGAATAGGAAAAGACAATTTTGTGCAAATGGACATACACATTCTAGGCATTAGGAAAACTGACTAAATGGATGCTCCCAGCAAGAGAAGTGCCACCCATCCTGACCAAGGGCCCTTTGAAACTCTGCAGGATTAAAGAGGCCAGAGTCAGGCTTCCCTCTGTAAGCCACTCAAAATCACACTCTAGGAAACTCTGGATCTTGGCCTAAATGTGCAGCTCCGCCTGGACCCTGATGGGGGAAGGGAGAGGGGCAGTTGAACAGAAGAGAGGAATGGGTGTGACATGATTCTGAGGAAAGAAAAAAGGCACAGTGATGAGCCAGAAATGGTAGTGATGAAAGCGAGGATCATTTTTCATTCACCCTGATTCTTACTGAAAGCTTTGACAGCCCAATTCCTCGGTGTGTAGATGAGAAAACAACCTAGGAAAATCATGTGGTTTGCTCAGAATCACTTAGCTAAGTGCAATAGTGCTCTCTGTAAGACCAAAGACCAACTTGCCTCTCAACTTGGTCAGAAAATTAAACTAAATCTAGACCCACGGTTCTGCTATGCCTCTCCCCCCATATCCTGAGATGACAAGATTGCAAACTGGAGGTACAGAAAGAGAGGGAACCAGTACAAACAAGAGCCCTTCCCTTAGGCCCACTACCATTCAGTGCTGGGCCCACCAACACAGGAGACTCCTTTAGCTCTCTGGAAAAGTGTGCTCTGAGGGCCACCTGGTATCCTGAGGTCACAGGTAGAGCTCAGCCAGGGCAAAGAATTCTTGAGAGGGGAAGGCCAGTGTTACCGCAGAAAGGGAACACCAGGGACTCCAGCTAGGAGATAGAATCTGTGCTTGCATAACAGGGCCATGACCAGCCCAGCATCTCCCCTCACAGTGAGGAAAGCATGTCTTCTTTAGATTGGAGGTCATCACCACTCCTTATTAAATTTAGAATTTCCTCTAACTGTACACTAACTTAGAGGTAAATGCATTTTCCAGACCAAAGATAATTTTGTTGCCTTTTTTTGTCACTGAAGGACACAGAGTCCAAATTTTCACACTTGCTGGCTTCTACCACTGGTATTCAGCATGTGTCTGGACCTTAACTGCTCCTTCTGAACTAGTGTCGTGATTTTTAAGGCACATTCACTAGAATATGTTCAAATTCATCCAAAAGCATGCATGTAACATACCAATTTCATCATGTACCGCAAAAAGGAACTGAAAACTAGAATTTCTTGGACAGTATCCTCCTATTCTTTCTCCCAAGAAAGAGCTGGTACTTTCCCTGGTTTACTTTCTGACCAAAGAGCATGAAATGAATGAACAAAATCCGTAGGTGATCAAATGCCCTTTTTCCTTTCCTACTCATCCTTAGAAATATGATCGTAGTAAGAAACCTCAGTTGGTGATTTGCAGATTGCCCTTTTCCCCCAAATACACACAGACATAGAGACACACAGACAGACACAGAGCACCTTGGAGCCAGAAGGAAAGAAAAGCTAGAATCGGAGAAGAGTGGGGAGTGAACACCACAGCTCTACAGAAGAGCTGTTTGGGGGAAGAGGGTGTGGCCCCAGGAGCAGTAACAGAGGGGCTGCCTGAGGTCCCAACTGCCCCCCACCCTTAGGGCTTGCTCGTGCCATCATCCAGTCCCCGGCCCACTCAAGGGTACCGTCTGGATAGAGGGTATAAAGGACAAGAGCTCTTACCCTGGGAGATGCTGAGCCCAGGTGGTGTCCAGGGGCCCTGGCAGCTTTTTGAGTCTTTGGGCCCATGGCTAGGAGGCCAGTGGTCAGGGAAAACCAGCATCACCAGGAATGGGGTCTTAAGAACAGACCTTGTGAAGCTGGGTCTCGAGCAGATGACTCAACTGCTCATCATTCCATGCCCAACAGAGTTTTGCTGCTGCGCTACCTTCCCCAATGCAGGCTGGGAAGCTCAAGCCATGTTCCTGACACAACCTCCCCCCTAAACCCATGTATTCGATGGAACACAGGGTACAAGAGTTTATTCTTGTGCTTCTGCTTCTGCTTCTTCCACATTTCTGCCAGGCTTCCCTCCCTCTCTCTAGGCTCTGAAATCAGCCTGTTCTACTTTAAAATCCTAGACCCAGAGAAAGAGCTTAGACCAGACTTCAGAGATCTAGCTTCCGGCATCCCAAATGTCAGCCCGTCTCTTCCCAGTCAGGGGAGTATGAGCCCAACTAGGACTGGAAAAGTGGATCAGCCTCAGTGCCCTCAGAATGACCCCAAAAGTGGTCCAGAAACTAGGCCCATAGAGGGGCCTCCCACAGATCCCCGCTGTAACAGCTGCACTGTGCTTTGAGCACTCCACACAGGAAATCTTAGCGTCTAAGGAAATGAGAACACACTACCACCACCACTTAGGTCAAAACAACTCCCCTCACTATGGGAGGAGCCTCAACCCAATGTTTTCAGTAGTACTTACTTAAAACAAAAATTTCTGTGCACCCTTTCCAAGCGCATCTACTCTGAAGGGAGGAACAACTCCTGCTTGCTTCCCCCGGATTTCTGACTTCCACCTGGGCAAGTAGCCTCTGTGGGGGTCAGAGAAGAGCAAAGCCTTAGCGTTCCCAAGTGTTCAGCATAGAGGGTACCAACCAAGGAGGAGGAAATCAGACCCAGCCCTGGAACATTCACGTCTCACCCATCACACCCAAAAAGAGAAAGGCACGATGGCCTTGGTAAGGCCTGTCCTCAGGGAGAAGCCAGACACAGGGCAGTCCTGATCAGACTGATGTTCAAAAGGCCAGCTTTCAGCAGGGAACTGAATGGTTTCAATTTCAGACATCAACTCTGACACTTCTGAGTCTCTGTAATCAGGCATAAGGGTGAGGGCATGCAGACCAGAGTCCCAAGAAGGCTAGAGAACCAGAGAGCAGTTTCTTAGGGGATGGTAGGAACAAAGAACTCAAAGAAGCAGAAGTTCTGAACTCTGCCACTCACCAGCTAGATGACCCGGTACAAGTCCATCTTCTAAATGTGATTCATTTAAAGTGACACATTGTACTAGTTCATCTCTAAAGCTCCTGCCACCTCTCCTCTCTTGTGGTTCTAATGTACTCCCTGCTTTTCTTCCCCCGTCCCATTCCCACCCCAAAAGAACCACACACAAGCGGTCTTAGCAGCCACAACCTAGGCTGAGCACAGGGGGTGCGAGGCACAGGCCAGAGCACCTGGAGCTAGACCTTCTTCCTGGAACATGCCATGGCTTAGGACTGGTGCTCTGCTGGCTGTGGGCCAAGGCATGCCTACCTGGCTGCACTATGGGCCGAGGTGCAGGGCCCTGGGCAGGAGCTGCTCCACAGAAAGCTCCTCTGGCTGCTGTCAGGACTCCCAACGTAGCCCTGGTCCAGGGGCCTGTGCCATGTACCTCCTGCCGCCTCTATGCACACAGACAAATCCTAGAGGAATCAAAGGAGCGGGAACCCCAGGCCACCAGCCAGTTCCCACAGCCAAAGCCAGGCCCCCGCAATCCTGACAAGGTCTTGCCACTCAACCTTTCCCAAACTCCTGTAACTTCTAGGCTGGCTGAGGCCTTCTGAAGTCAGAGGACTTTTTGGAGTTAACCAAGGGCCTGGAAGCCGATCCTAGCCCTACTATGTATGTAAAATGGGTGTACCCAGTACACACGTACACACTCACACTGTGCCCTTCACTACTGGGGACCCAAGGTCACCTGACTCCCAGACTGAGTGGGTGGCTGGACCACAGCAGCCCTGCATTGTGCTTCCTCTCCCTCTGTTTCTTCCTATCTTCCCAGCCGAAGAGGCTGCCCAGCTGGGCAAACACACCTGCAGCAGGATACAAACTCAAGAGCAGGGGTGTGTGTCTAGACCTTGGGTCCCTGCACACACACACGTCCCCAGCCCAGTCCTCTGTCTCTGCAGTGGAGACAGAGGAGCCAGGTCCGAGTCAGCTTGGCCAGGGAGCCACTGAGAGCTGACAGTTCAGCTGGCAGCAGGCCTATGTACAGAGAGAGGGGAGGCAGGGCTGTCTCTGTAGGGCAGGCAGCTCCACTCCAGGCTGGGCAACCCCAAAGGGCACGAGGAGACTCTACTCGCAGGCCAGCTTGCTGTCAAAGCTGGACAGGGCGATGGCAAAGGCCTGCAGCGCGCACAGTGGGTAGTTGTAATCCATGGTGAACACATCCTCTGCCACACGGCCAAACTGCATCACGATGTAGTCCGCTGCGGCCAGGCCCGTGGAACAGAGCAGGGGTGGGGCAGGGCAGGAGAGACAGACAGACACATCACAACGGGCGGAGAGGCCCAGAGGAGGTACAATTGGGAAACATGGTGGGAAAGAGGGAGGAGATGACAGAGGAGGAGAGGCACACAAATACCAGGAGACAGAAGAGGAGAAAAAGTCTATTCAGACAGTGTTCTCACACCTGAGACTCTGCTAAGTGCACAGATTCTGGGGTTAGGGCTCCAAAGGAGGTTCTTCTAAGAGTCTCCCAGTCCTAGGGTCAGAGAATTTTTGACCTCTGATCGAAGCCATATAACCCACATCCTTAAGCTCTGGCCTATGAAGCCGGGACTGGATGAGCTGAACCCTGAGTCAAAGGGACAGTCCTGAGGAAGGGCGGAAACACTCACGGTCATTGCCATGGATGATCTGGAAGTTCTTCACGGAGGCCTGTGTGACGCGCCCATGGAAGTTGAGTACGTAGGACTGCGTGTCGTCATTCCAGACAGGGGTCTTGTTTTGAAGCTCGATGATACTCTCCGTGTTCTTGTTCTGCCAGCGTGCGAGCAGCGTCTCATGCTCCTGGGAAGGCAGCCTCACCTGAGTCAGGCCCAGCCCAAGCCCTGGCCCACAACCACCCTAAAAAGGGATTTGCCCTAGGGGCAGAGTCCTTAGATCTCCCTAGACCTCCACCTAGAGCCCTGGGGCTGCTTACACCACACCTCCTACACACACAGACACACACACACACACCGCACAGCTGCAGTTCTGCTCCCAGAAGGGCACGCGTACACTGGGGTGACAGGGTGGCGAGTGACTCACGTTTCGTGGCCGGATGGAGACTCTCTCATGAACCATGTTCATGCCTGGGACAATCACACTCATCTTCCGAGGCCCCTTGAAACCTAAGACATTTGTCTCCTGGGAAAGAGAGAAGGACGACTCAACACTGGCCATCTGAGGACTCTACTTACCTAATGGAGAGACCGGGAGGAAGGGAATAAAGCTGATGAGCTAGATGGTCTCCATCTTTACCTGAATGTCTAATAGACATCTCTACACTGAACCCATCTGGAACTGAGCTCCTGAATCTCCACTCTGCCCAAACCACCTCCTCCCTATCGTCCTCACTTCAGTTAACAACTCCGTTCTTCCATTTGCTCAGGCAACCTACTTTGAGTCATTCTTGACTCCTCTCTTTCGCTCACAACCCACTTCTAATCCATGAGCAGATGATGTCACCTCTACCTTCAAATTCCATCTGGAACTCAACCACTTTTTTACCAGCACCATCTCTCCCCAAGGTCACAGTACTAGCCTTTATTGGGATTCCTGGTTTCTGACCTTGCCCTGCCCCCCTGGTCTGTTCACACAGCAGCAGTCGTCCTGTTAAGTCAAATCCTTTGCCTCCACTGTTCATGCAGATTAAAGCTGAAGGTCTTACCTTGACATCGAGGCCTCACATGGTATGGCCCCACTACGTTCCTCTCCTGCCCACCTACTCACCTCTGCACTGGTTCTGCCCCGCCCCCCCTTGCTATTCCCCACACATGCCAGTCATGCAGGACATTAGCACTGGCTGTGTGTTCCACTACACCCACGTGGCTGGCTCTCCCTTCCTCCCAGGCTTTACCCAAGTGCTACCTCAGGGAGGCCCTCCCTGCCATTCTTACTAAAAGCTTATACACACCTGAACATTTCATTTCCCTGCTTTATTGTTTCCTCTTTACATTTATTTATTTTGCTTATAAATCTGTTTTATAGCTCGTCTCCCCACTAGGGGTTTAAGTCCCATAAGGGTATAAATTTATGTCTCTTGTTCACTACTGTATTCTCAGTGCCTCAACCGGTATTAGCTGTGGCTTAATGCAAGCTGGTGCAACCACTCTGGAAAACAGCATGGAAGTTCCTCAAAATGTTGAAAATAGAACTACCCTATGACCCAGCAATTGCACTGCTGGGTATTTACCCTAAAGATACAAACGTAGTGATCCGAAGGGTCACGTGCACCCAAATGTTTATAGCAGCAATGTCTACAATAGCCAAACTATGGAAAGAACCTAGATGTCCATCAAGAGATGAATGGATAAAGAAGATGTGGTATATATACACAATGGAATACTATGCAGCCATCAAAAGAAATGAAATCTTGCCATTTGCGACAACGTGGATGGAACTAGAGGGTATCATGCTTAGCGAAATAAGTCAATCGGAGAAAGACAACTATCATATGCTCTCCCTGATATGAGGGAGAGGAGATGCAACATGGGGGGTTAAGGGGGTAGGAGAAGAGTAAATGAAACAAGATGGGATTGGGAGGGTGACAAACCATAAGTGACTCTTAATCTCACAAAACAAACTGAGGGTTGATGGGGGGAGGGGGGTTGGGGGGGTGGAGTTATGGACATTGGGGAGGGTATGTGCTATGGTGAGTGCTGTGAAGTGTGTAAACCTGGCAATTCACAGACCTGTACCCCTGGGGATAAAAATATATGTTTATAAAAAACTTAAAAAAAAAAACAAAAAACCTTAAAAAAAAAAAAAAAAAAGCATTTGAAGAGATCTGGGCTGCCTTCCCAAGGGTGACCTGCAGGTGGCACCATAAGCTCATACAGAACACCTATGGCTTTCCCAACTGGCCTCCAAGTACCCAGGCCCGGATTAATGGGGGTATCAATCCCTCATTTTAAAATCAGGTAGAGAAATTCCCTGTATTTACATTCCAGTTTGGTCACTTACACGCTGTAGGACATTGGCAAGTGACAGCCTCTGAGCTTCAGTTTCCTCATCTATACAGTAAAGGAAATAGGACTGAGCTCTTAGGTAATGCATTCCGTGAGATGACTATGCAAAGGGACTTATAGTCTGTGCAGGGCCCAGGTACTGGAGGGAGAGGTAGAGCGATGCACCGACAAGAACTCGGGCCTCTAGCCACCTCCTTTCCGGGAGATTCCCAGGCTGGGCTGCATAGAGCTCAGCCCGGTTCCCAGATCTCCCCAGGCAGATGGCTATGCTGTCTGTGGTCTGAGCTCTGAGGACAGACAGGGGCCACTCCAACAGAGGGCAGTCCAACTGTGTACAATCTTGTCTACTCACAAGACAGATGGGACAGCCCACAGACTGGGCAGCACGTCCTCAGCGTCCTGTCTAACCTGGATACCAGAGACCCAGGAACGCACGACTCACATAGCACACTGCTGCCAACTCCTGACGCGAGGCTCCACTTTCCGAAGTAGAGGATGATGCCTTCTGAGGGTTGACTCCATTGTCATAAACGGTGAACTTCGTGCCCATGAGGTTGGACCTGAAGGACCGGCAATCAATAAAGGATCATACACCCTCCGACTTAGGGCAGGGAACAGCTCAATGAGCTGTTCAATGAGCCTGCAGGGCACTCTGGGTTGGGCCAGGAGCAACCCGGGAGCACACTGCACACCGAATCCCCATCTCTGAAGGTCCTTCATGGGGCAGAAGACCTGCACTTGCTCTGAACAGAATCAAAGGGCATCTTATTCAGTGAGGGAAATTCTAGGAGTTAAGTCCAGGTTCCACATATTTCCCTGGAGGAACAGGACTGCTCCCCTCATGAGAGGGGAGCAAGCATCTGGCAAGATGGCAAAAGGCGCTCAACATCTCATGGAGAGTGGATGAGACAACCTCCTCTCCTGTGCAGCCTGTGTTAGTCTAGCCCCATCTCCAGCATTAGCTCCTTACCCCTAAGCTTGACTCATACTCCCCAAATATGGCACTCTGTTCCCCGGCACACACTCCCTGAGGCCTAGCTCAAAGCCTTCCCCCATCCCCAGACTGTGCTTTCTTCCCTTAAGGGCTCACTCCCCGCCCTCTGGCACTGACCATGGAGCCAAGGCAGTTCTTCCACAGTGGCCTATGTCTTCAGGGACTTCCTGAGGTTTGATCTATACCCTATGCCCCCGCACCCCCCAGGAACAGCTTAGGGTAGGGTATGTGAGCTCCATCTCTGAGTCTGGCTCTAGGCTGACACAGACCCGGGCCTATAGGCCTACATTTGGAGCTGAGAGACAAAAAGGATTCTGAGAGGATCTGACCCCTGACCTCGATCTCCCTCAGGGACAAGACCTGCCCTCTCCAGAGCCTTGCCCTGCCCCTCCAACCCAGCCCCCCAACCTGCTTCCTTAGGGGAGTGCTAGTACCGCAGTTTCCCGATGTAGCTGTCCCCTCCTCGAGACAAGTCTGTTGGGTCCACAGAGATGAGGTAATTGGAAGTTTTACTCTTCTTTCTCTTCCTTCCCGCCAAGAGGAATACCTTGGGGAATGGAACAAGGTCACATTCCAGGCCCCGCCTCTGGTCACACACACCCAGGGGTGCCACACACACGACGCTCTCTGGCTTCGGCTCCTGAACATAAGTATGTGTGCACACACAGACACACACACACACACACATCAGCAAACAAAAAGGTCTGCACTGACCAGGCACAGAGGCTTTTGTCCCTTTGGGGAACTGAAAGGTCAGTGTTGGACCCAAGGCTTCCAATTACATTCCAGCCCACAGGATCTCAAGCCTGCGTCAGTGAAACTGCAGGTTCAGGCCAACCTCACCTTCTTCCCATCCTCACGGTCCAGGTGCAAAAAGTAGGTGGGGTACATGCCCCGGTCCATCCCCTTCTTGTCCCGCGTGATGCGGCACTTGATGGTGATACCCTGGGGGGCCGGCCTCAGTGCAAACTCCTCAAGATCCTGGACCTCAACATCCGCCGAGGGTTCTGGGGCTGTCGGGCTGGGGGCTGACGCTGCCTCCTACACGGGAGAGAGCAGAAGCCGAACCCCAGAGACCCTGAGCAGCTTCAGCTGGTGGTCTGGGACCCAAAGCTGCCCCCTGGTGTGGTGGTGGTGGTGGTGGTGGTGGTGGGAGCTGGGACAGGGTCCTTGGGATAAGCTTGGCCCTGGGGTCAGCAGCTGGCTCCTCAGCCCTTTTCCCACCTCCGCTGTCCCTGGGGGGTGGAGATGGAGATGTGGGCAGGTTCTCCGGGCCATCCTGTCCAACTCGAGCCCCCTACTTCTGGCCTGGCAGGAGAGGAGGCAGGAGAGGAGGGATACAAGAGCCCCAGCCAGAAACCCTTTTGATCGGTTTTGAGGCCCAGAAAGAATCAATTACTTTCCCAAGAAAGCCAACTCTCCACTCCTTCACACCTGTTCCCCTGCCAACCTGGACGTTCAGACCTCTGATGGCTGTCTACCCTCCCGCGGGGCAGCAAAGCACCTCACCCTGACGGACTTCCGGCTGGTAGCGGAGCTGGGCCGGGTGTTGCTGTTTAGCTGGGAGGAACTGGAGCTATTTTCATCCTCATCCTCCTCTTCCTCTTCAAAGCTCATGCTGCTGGAGACCCCTGGGCGGGGCAGAGGAATGGGACGGGACGAGTGGTCACACACATACACCCGGACACCTGCTCCGAAGCACAGAGTCACCCATACACACAAAGAACCATATGTACACACATGCACACACACACACACACACGTCCAAGTACACACAAGGACACACACTCTCCAGTGCACGCATGAGCTGGGGCTGGTCACCATCCTCAGGGTGTAAATACCCCTCCCCAGCTTTCAGCTCAGTCCTCCCATGAGACCCGTCTCCCATGGGACGTCTCCCATGACCCGCCCCCAGCAGTCAGTTACTGTCTCCTGGGTGGCGAGGCCTGAGTGGAGCTGACCTTGTGCTGGGAGCCTTCGTGTCTACCGGAGGTCTCCGCTGTCACAGGCCGTAGAGTCTGTTTGGGAGAGGCCCAGCTCCCTCCTCCCCCAGCCTGATGCACGTGGCCCACTGCCTCCTCCCACAGCCTGCCCATGGCCTTCTGTCTACACATTTCTCCCCACCTGGAATGCTATCCCCAGCCTCCTGCTGCCTCCACAGCCCCTTCTCCAGGAAGCCTGTCCTGATCTCATTTCTTAGAACATGTGTCCCTGCTGGGCTTTCCTCTGCCACCCAGTGCCAGGGACTCCCTGGGGTGGGGCTCCTGGTAGATTCTCTGGGCAGCAGGTTTCCTGGGAGGATCTGCCATCCCTCCTGGCTTTCTGGCCCTGCTTCCTGAGCTCGGGAGATGTAGGGGAAACACTTTCAAAAGGACCCTTCTCAAAGGAACCAAAGGGAAAGGAAATCTGTCTCCAAACCTGGGCCTCCCTGGAGACAGAAGATGGAGGTAGAGAGGGGTATGGGCTGTGGACGGGTCACTTTCCCTAGCTGACACTGACTTCCCTGAACTTGGCCTTACCAGGGGTCCCTACATTCAAGTTTCTCATTGGTCTCACACTGTGCCCCCTACCAGGGCCATGTTCCCCAAAAGGGTGCATCTGAGAACCTGGGACTGAGCTTTGGGGGTGTCACTGAACCCCCATAAGGCTCACCCTTCCTCTGCATCGTGGCACGGAGGTCCTGCCCACTGGGCTGTGCGCCCCCGCCGGCTGCCGTCTCCCCCGCGTCCTGAGCGTGGTCTGACTGGCCCACAGTCAGGATCCGCACCGGGTCTTGGGCCTCAGACTTGTCTTCTGCCAGTGCTGCTGGCCCGCTGGTGCCTGCAGGCCACGGATACTCCTGAGTCCCATGGGGGGGTGGGGGAGAGAGCCTGGATTCTCAGACGTCCTTGAAGTGGGTGAGGGATGAGTGAGGGGAGCCCTCTGCAAAACTGATTTTTGAAAACACTAATGACTGCTACCAGCCTCTTATTGATCAACAAGCTACAAAGGGACAAGAGCTTCGTTTCTTCTGCTGTTCCCCCAAATTAGTTGCCAAGGGTTGGTTTAAAATGCCTCATATCCCTAGGTAGAAGATAGCCATCTACAAAACCAACTGCACAGTGAAAAAGACAAGATGGAGAACAAGGACTGATCATGACCATGGCCAAGGCCACCACTTGTTCACAGACACAGCCAACACCTAGTTATCAGTGATCTTCTGTCACACACACAAATACACACCTCATAACTCACAGACGTCACTCAAAACACAGGGGGCCCCTTGAAAAAGATGGAGGTTGGCATACACTCCCCTTCCCAAATGGAAGATCACCCATCCCACGTCACCCTGCCCAAGGTGCCTGAGTAACAGAAGGCCTGGCCCACACAGGTAGCAGTTGCCTTGCTGGCTGGGCTATGCCCCCCAACTCTGCAGTCAGCTCCAGAAGCCTATGAACCCTGACATGCCACCGTCCAACCACATCCCAGACACCTAGAAATCACTGCCCATGCACACAGGTTGGGCACACAGGGGGTGTCTAGCCAGCAGAGACAGGATTCGTGGTAGAAGGCACCACAATGGTCCTTGATCTCTGGAGATCTTTTCTGGAGAGAGAGGAACGGAGAGAACAGAATGGTCTGTGGGCCCAGACGTTGGAGTGAGGACTAGAGCAGAGAGTCAAGAAAGCCCACTCAACTGTGAGTACGCACAAGGATGCGGCAGACTGCCAGGGGCAGGACAGCAATGGAGGGGGCTCAAACCAGGTGGAGGAGGGACACGGCGAGGTGCATTTCACTTCCTGGCAGTGTCGGGAGCCTGCCCACACCCACAGGCCAGCCCAGGAACCCCATGAGCTAGAGGAAGCCTGTGAGCCTCCCGGGTGGGGCCTTGAGTATCCTTCTGTGCCTTCATGGAGGCCTCCCACCCTGTCCCTTACCTCCCAAATCTGGAGGAGAAACCTCCCCCAACCCTCCAGTGGGAGCCAGACCTCCTGAGGAGGGCCGTGGTGGAAGAAAGCCAACCTTTGTGCTTCCCCTTCTTCTCCTTCCTAGAGGCCCCGCCCTGGCCCCCCGCTGCAGCCGCTGCCTTGGTTCTCTTGGCTGAGGCTGGTGCTGTTGGGCGGGCAGCTCCTAGCTGCGCACTGGTGAGTGAGTCGGCCTCTTGAACTGCTCAGGACAAAGTCCAGAGAGAGAGAGAGAGAGAGAGGGAGAGAGAAACATGGGCCTTAGGTGAGACCAGAGCTGCAAGTGGAACTCACTTCTCAGCACATTTCCCAGGGCCCCACCACCACTCAGCCCTACCAGGGCCTCTGTACCACCCACCTCTACAAGACAGAGGGGCTAGGGCAGGCAGAGCTAGAACGGGGTGGTGCCCCCAGCCCTGTGTGATAGAGTCAACAGGCTGGCCCACAGCATGACCAACCAATAAGCACCATAATCAAAGCTCTGGGCCAGCAAACCGTGTGAGTCTGGGCAGGGGGAGGGGGAGCATCTGAGAGAATGTGGGTCACTCTAGGTGCCAAAGATAGAAAAGACTGCATCTCCTAGAAGAGCGCAGAACTCGGGAGGGGAAGCACTGCAGGGAGCCTATACCGGCCTACCCAGGACAAGCCCATGGGAGCCTGTCACGCCAGAGTACCCCGAGCAGGACAGTAACTCTGGGCTACAAGGAGCTGTGCCAACCAACAGAGAGGTGGCCTCCACAGTCTCACACATCAGAACCCCAACCTCCCCAAAGTCTTTGAATGATTTCTCATTGCTCATAAGATGAAGACCAACATTCTCCCCTCCAGCTCCATTCTACTTGGCCTTGGCCTTCCCAGCACACCCCTTATCTCCCAGGGACCCCACATCCCAGCCCCTCCAGGCCCTCTCAGGGCCTTGTGCACAGCGTCCTCCCTCTTGCCAGAGGGGCTTGGCGCTACTGTCACACTGTCTGCACTGTCCTCACTGTGGATATCGGCCCCCTGACCCCAACTCAACTCCCACTCAACCTGCAGTTTCCAGCTCTGGTGTCACCTCCTCGGAGAGGCCTTCCCTGGCCCTCGTATGGGAGCAGTCTCTCTGCCATTCACTCACACAGCCTGGCTTCTCTTCACCAAGCAAACCAATGAACTCTGTCTCCCTTCCTGGACCTCCAGGTCCATGAACAAAGAGAGAGCACACCTGTTCTGTGCTTCCCCAGGACCTTCAGCCTCTAATCCAGAGACTGACACACAGTAGGCCCTCAACAAATATTTAAGAAATGAGTATACAACATGAATGAGCACGGTCAGTGAAAAACCTCGCTGGGAGAAAGTTCTCACTGCCCTCAAACTCTGCTCTCAGCTTCTGAAGATGAGGGCCTTGTATTTTACACAGAGAGCCAGTAGAGGGCAGAGCAGTAGGCAGCTGAAGTGGCAGGGGGGTATGGGAGGTGCCCCTGGAACCCCAGATTCCAGGTCAGCCAGCCCCTGGAGCAGCAGCCTCCTCAGGGCTCCGAGCTGGGCAAAGAAGCCCCCCCACCCCCACTCCCACACCGGAGAAGCAGCATGAACCCAGCCTGGTCTGCAGCCTCAGCAGGAGAAGCATTCAGCTGATGGGACCATGTGACCCACCAGGGCCACTTGTTTTCAAAGCCCCCAGACACAGAATGTTCCTCAACGTTACGAGGGGAGAAGATAGGCCCAGAGAGGGTATGTGACTTGCCCAGAGTCAAAAGTGAGCAGAAACTGTCTTCTGACGGGGCTGGGACCCACTATGTCCAAAGGGGCTGCAGACAGGCCTGCCCCTGGCCTGGGGCGCAGTTGGTGCTCAAGGAACACCCGCCAAGGCAACCAAAGCCTAGGGATGCCAGAGCTCGTACAGGGGCCCAGGGCTGCAGGTCCCAACTCCCTCAGTCTCGGATGGAGCTGGGAGTCATCTGGCTGGAGGCCCGTGGGCACCCCCTACTCTGGAAGCAGTGGGTAGGGGGCGGGGGGTGTGGTCACAGCACAGGGAACTCCCCAGGCCAACCCCAAGGCAGGCTCTACCTTGGTAGCTGGTGCTGCCACTGCTGCTGAGGTAGGACTCCACCAGGGGCGCCTGCTCCTCCGACTGCCGGGCCCGCCGGCTCCGGGGCCGCCCGTCCGCGTTGGCCTGCACCATCAGGGGCTCCTGACGCTTCTTCTTCTGTTTCTGCTCCAGCAGGGCCCGCTGCGGAGGCACCGGACGGGCACTCAAGTTGGCAGGCCCTGACAGCACAGCCCGTCCCTCCCACCCGGGGGGCAGGCTCCCGACTGAAACCAGAGAAGGCCCCGATCACTCAGCTCGGTTCTCAGGGTGACCAGGGGGTCCACAGCCCACTTTGGGCCACGGCTCTGTGCCCTTGGCACCTTGAGGCTCAGGGTCCAGGAAAAGGAGGCACAAGTCAGAGCAGGTAGACGGCCCAGCAGGACCGCGGCATGGATGTCCGGTGCTCCGACTACAGGCACCAGCTGTCCGCCCGGAAAAGCCCTGGGCTCTGGGGCTGTGCTGATGCTGAATGGTCTAGACATGGCTTGGCTCTCTTCTGTGAGGGCCTCCTCCCAGCCAGCCAGGGTCACCCCAGGAAGGGAGATAATGCCCCCCCACCCCCCCACCCCCGCCGATGGTAAATGCCGACTGCCCGTCCACCCAGCCCCGGCTGCACTCACCTGCCGGTCTAGCTTCTGCTGCCTCAGGTTGCTGCCCTCATCATCTAAGACACTGCAGAGGGAGACAGGGGCACTCAGGGCCTGCCTGGTGGCTGCCGGCTACAAACAGGGAGCCCAGAGCCCACCCCCACCCTGCACATCAGGTTCTTTAAACCCCTCCCATAATGACTCCTGGGGACACAGGAGAAGGAGACAGGAAGGGTGGAGCTACTACCTGGAAGCCAGCTCTGGACGGAAAGGTGGAAGCCATATTTTTGCCAATGAAGGAGCTTTCTCCGGCTGGGGTCCCTGCTGACCCAAGGACTTCCTAGTCAGCCTGACCCAAAAAGTACAGGAGGAGACTCTCTCTTTGGGGCCATGAGCTGGGACATGCCTAAGATGCAGGGGAACCTGCCCAGAGGCATCAGGTACAAGCCAGGCCCAAGGCTGGGCTTCAGACTGAGGCACCTGTCTGCTCCAGGTCCCTCTCGGATCTCACCAGCTCCTCCCGGGTCCTCCCGTCCTTCCTAGAGGAGGCTGGATCCTTTGAAGCAGACTCTTTCCTATTCTAGTCAAACTCCTGGCTCTCCAGGTGGCAGAATGAGAGATGCCAACACTGTCCACCCCCTTTAAAGAAGGCTGGGGGTAGGGGGGGGCACCTGGGTGGCTCAGTGGGTTAAAGCCTCTGCCTTCGGCTCAGGTCATGATCCCGGGGTCCTGGGATCAAGCCCCACATCGGGCTCTCTGCTCAGCAGGGAGCCTGCTTCCTCCTCTCTCTCTCTCTGCCTGCCTCTCTGCCTACTTGCGATCTCTGTCTGTCAAATAAATAAAATCTTAAAAAAAAAAAAAAAAAAGAAGGCTCTCTCTCTCTCATCTGGGAGAGAGAAACTAGAAGACCAACCAGTCCCTGAGGGCAGGGCTGGGCTAGTTGGACATATGTGTAGGCAGACACAGCCCATCTGTGCATAGCCCAGTGACCAGCCAACAGGGGACACCGGGGCATCAAATCCTTGAGTCTCTAAGGTCTTGGAACAGGCAGTATGTCATCTCACATAGATCGGACCTGCCTCCCAGGAAGGCAACTGAAATTAGGGAGCCTCAACCACTCAGCACTCCTTCTAGGCCAAGATACATCCATAAGCCATAGCCCCAAATTCTGTAAAAGCCAGGGTTGGGGGCTGGGCTGGAGCCTGAGTATCTGAGCCCTGGTAACTCCCAGACTACCCTGGCCCAGTGATTGCTAGAGCCTGCCCCTGAACCAGACCATGAGCGGGAACCTGCACAGGCATGCCTGAGGGCATCGGGTTTGTCATACGTGTGCACATGCCAGAACGTGTCCAAACATGAGCACATCTACACATGTGAGTGAGCACACACCTGCGTATCTATACAGATGAACTCGTGTGCGGGTGAGTACGCGTGTGAGAAGTGCAGACAAGGACGAGTCACCCTGAAGACAGCTCAGCCGCTGTCACCCCCTCCTGATAAGAGGAGCTCTTTCTAGCCAGAACAATCATTGACCTGCAATGTCCCCTTGGCTCATCCAGATGACCTGTGTGTCGGTGTGCTGGGGAGCCACCCAAGGGCGGCAGGACGTCCACGGAGTCCACAGCCCGCCGCCCTCCTCCCTGGCCACAACCTAAGATGACTGCCTGTTTTCAACCATTGGCACTGACCTCCTTACTTGAAGGCCTTGCCTGACACCCATGGGCTGGTCCTCATTCCAGAGGAGCCCCAACCATGAGCCTCATCAGTTCGCAGCCTTATTCTCCAAAAGTCTTGGCTGCCAAAACACAAGCGAAGACACTGCTAAACAGATGTGCTTCTGAGCCAAGGCCTTAGTCTAGGGGGTACTCCATGAGGGTGCTGCCTGGACCAGACGACAGTGACCCGGCTCCTAAAACTTCCAGCTGGCCAGGACAGGGAGTGCCCTGTCAGAGAAAGCAGACACCCCAGGCCGGAGGGTGGCAGCCAGAGTTCTGAAGGGAGGAGGAGTTCATTAGGGAGGGCAAGATGCCTGGGGGCCCCGCCAGGGCTGAGAAGCTACAAGTCTGCCACTGGTCTGCGCACCCTAAGTCAGTGGCCTCACTGAACGATGCCAAGGCCGAGCATCTGCTCCCACAGACTTCCAGGGCTCAGGCCACCAAGACCACCATCCCCCAGGGTCAGCGGCACAAGCAGTGTGGATTCCTTTAAGACGCGCAAGATCTGGAGAGATACGGCACTCTGGACTCCATGTGGCCCTGGCAGATGGCAATGACAGGGCCTGAATCCAGCTGTGCTCTGCCTGCCCGGCTCTGTGCCTGGGTCCACACTGGGCAGCCGGCAGCGCAGTCACACGCTAGCAGCCTCACCACAGGAGCCCAAGCAGCCTCCGCGAGACTGCCGGCTCACCTTCCTGCAGACAGGGGCAGCTTTGTGGCCGGCATTACGCTTGTCCCCTGTGCTTTCCTGGGCAGGGGCAGGGAGGGCAGCCAGGTAATCCCCGGACGGAGCCTGGTGAGCACGGCAGAGAAGACGCCCTCTGTGGGCTGTGGTGCTGACGCAAACATCTCGGTTCATTCAGAAAAGGGGACGTCCACCTGTGAGCTAAGCTGATATGAGCAAAGCCACCTCCAGAACCGCCGGGTCACCGCGATAGCTTGATGGACAAAGGCGAATCTGATAGTGTCCCTATCTGTACAGGGGCAGAGGGGGGCTGCATTCCTAGCCCAAGCTACTGTCCCACTGCCGTGGACTCTCCACATGTCACACGCGGGCAAGGAGGCTGCTTTCCTCTGCCGCCAGCCCCACCTCCATTCCCTGAGCAGGAGCCAGTGGCGTTGTTAGTAAGGCTGCTCACCTGGAAGGATCATAGGTGGAACGGACTTGACCTCTGGCCCTCACAGAAAAATGGATGAGCAAGGGATAAGCTTCTAAAGAGATTCCAGAAACTCAGATAGCCTGGAAGTGCCTGGGGAGCCAGCCCCCACCTCCCAAGAGGCACACTGCAGCAGCGGGGTCGGGGTGGGGGGATGCTGGGAAAAGCATCGAGCCCCGGGAGGAAGAACATGCCTGGCCACGCAGGAACCCCCAGGAGGGCCGGCAGTCCACGCACCTCTGAGCAGTGGCTCTGAGGGTGGGCTACAGCATGTCCACAAAGCAGCTTCCTGCTGCAGCCCTGTTTCTAGGAAAGCCCCAGAGGTCGGAGGCCGACCTCCATCCCCGGCAGGTACAGGCCCGGACTGCCTGACAGCACTGTGTCTGAGGCAAACATCTGTCCCTGACCGAGAACAAATCCCCACAAGTCCTAGCGGCTGCGGAGAACCACAGCGACAAGGTGGCTGTCCCAGGCAGGCCCCGGGCCCCACCCCTGCGGGTGGCCCTGCCCCTCAAGCTCCCACCACGGCACCTTCCTTCCCTTCTCATCAACACCACCCGGCCTGCCTCCACCCAATGGGCACTGTTCTCGACAGCACTAAATGATAACCACAGAGGAGACAGTAATGGCTTTTTAACAACTCGGGCTCCAATTATGGAATCACTGCCAAGCCCAGGCTGCCAGCTGCGGCCCCGCCAGGAGACAGGGCACTGATGGATGGGTCCTCCAGCTGACCCCGGCAGCTCCTTCATCTCAGTCTCCTCCTGCTGGGGACTGGACCAGGGATCCAGTAACGCACCGGCCACGGGCTCCTGAGGGTCGGAGAAACCCGATCCGCAGTGTCCATCAATCCCCCGACTCTGCCCAGGGCCAACAAGGGGGCCCTTCGCCTCCCAGGGAGACAGCCCCTCCATATCCTCCTGCTTCTCACAAGCTGCCCAACAGATAACGGGAGAGAAAACCATGCTTGATGACAAGTGAGAGCAGGGGCACTTCTCCCATGGGATGGAAAAGCCAGCCGTGGACAACATATTTAGGAAGCTGCGTCCCTGCCTCTCACTGCACCTCTCACTGCACAGCACTGTGCATGCTGCTCACCTAACCCACCAGAGCTGACCAGAGGCCTGGGGGCCAGGCTACCTAGGGACAGGCTCATACTCCTCGCCTAATTCACCCTCTGCTTTTGTGCCCTCATTCCTTCCACTCAGTCACAAAGGAAGCTGCCCCTGCTGGACCCAGGGAGTCAGAGGAGGAAAGGCCACCCATGGGGTCAGGCTGCAAGCCCTGTACCGATGCCAGACTCCCCCACCCCCACCCCAGCATGCCCAGATCTGTCCCTAGTGGCTGCCTGGAAACCAGGGAAGCACAGAATGGGTGGGAACAGGGGCAGCCCCAAAAGGGAGAAGCCTACAGGGCTCACAGGAGTCCAGCCAGTAATTAAAACTGCTACGTGCACTCGGCCCTGACTCAGTGATTCAGAACTGCTGGGGAAGTTACCTCAGAATCAATCCCTCGCCTCATTTTCTCCTTTAAAGCAAGAAACATAGGTGATTTTAATGCTCAGTCATGCAAATGAGGACTAGAAGCCACAGCTGGTGATCTCTAAAGAACAAAAAAGAAATCAGAGAGTTGCTGAAAGTATGCAAAGGCAGCCTTCTCTTCAGATGGGGGAAGCAATCAGTCTGTATGTACATCCATCAGTCTTAGGCCCCAGATCATGGCATAGATTCGCTCAAGAGCTAGAAGACCCAGTAACTGAGCAGGCGCGAGCCCAGTCCACAAGCAAGTCAGGCCACATACCCCCAGACCTATCCAGGAAAACGGGAGGGCAGCATAGCCAGGGTTCCCCATGGAATCGTGAGGACCAGTGACAGTCACTTGTGGGCAAAATAAAGCAATGTGAGTGGCGTGTGCTCCAAGGAGACAGACCCTCAAAAGTTTTTGCAACATGCCATAATCAGAGGAGGTTTCCAGCGTCCTGCTTCCCTTGCTAAGCGTGTTTACTGATGACCTGAAGACAAAGCGGGCCTCTCAGCAGACTTCTAGGTGACACAAAGCCAAAGTCATATTAAACTGTTCACTGGGACAGTATGACTTCAGAAGACCCTGGAGAGCTAGCAGAGTCTAACCGATGCCTATCAGGAGAAGGTCACGTCTTACATGTGGGTCCCCAAACCCAGGTCTGCCCCACATAGACAGAATGGGGTACACAGAGCTTGACATCAGCCTAATGAGACTTCAGGGTTCTATTTACAGAGGCCTCAAGGTGACAAGTTGGTAAGCCAAAGCTGTCCCCAATTATAGGGAGCACCCAAGGTCAACAACGGGAGCAGGGCCCCCAGCAAGGAAGTAACAGCCTCCCTCTGCACAGTGTGGGAAAAGAGGAAGCTGCAGGGGGTCCAGGCCCGGTGCTGGAGGGGGCAGAGACATGGTCCCTGCTCCTGCAGTCCTCTCCACCACCCATGTTCCTGCTGCCTCTACCCGAAGCAGCAGCAGGGAGACTTCCCCAGTGCGCCAGGCTCCCCCTCCCGGCTGCAGGAGGTGAAGCAGCCAGAGCCCCCACGGCACCCCAAGGCTTCCCACACAGGCAGAGTCAACAGAACCAGGCCTTGCTTGGGCAGCAGTCCTTGCACTCCCCAGAAAGTGGTGGGAGGACCTTCACAAGAGCCAGGAGGAGGAAAAACTCAGAGGCACGCCAAGGCTCACGCCAAGAAGAGCCTTCTAGCGGTCACAGCCACGTAAGGGAAGAGAGCACTCAGAGGACCGGACAGCCTGTGAGGGCCCGTCCGGCAGCGGTGCTCATTCTCTGACCCAGGGCCTCGCTCTTCCAGCACTAGTGCCCTTCCTGAGGGGAGACTACTACGTCCCCTGTGCTGAGAAGCTGGGTGTGCAGCCAGGAAAGCCAGAAAGTCCACAGAGCTGCCTGGGAATGCCTCTTCGACTGAAAGTAGTGTGCATCTTGTCTGGGTTGGGCCGCACCGGGCACACAGCCCAGGACCAAATGGGGTCCCTGCTCTCCAGGAGTTTGCGGCCGGGTTGGGGGGATGCAGTGCAGAGAGAGCACTGAGGACAAGGCCTGCCATCCCTCCCTCGCTCTTAATGCTCCACCTGCAATTCATAAGGGTTGTGAAGCTGGGAAGGAAAAGCATTTACTACTCAAGAAAAACAGATGAAGAGAAAATGGCAGAAGTGAGAATTATCAGTACTAGTAAGAATAGACAAACGTCAAAACGCAAAACATTATTCCAATTGTTCAACTTTATAAACTAAACGACTCCCTTCTGAGTCAGAGTGTGAGATTACTCCATGATCCTTATAAACTGAGCCACAATTACCCTTAAGACGATTATCGCCAACATTATCGCCAACCGGCAGTTACTTCAAAGAAAATGAACCAGGCCTAGGGAACGCAGGTGCAGCCATCACAGAGGGAGGAAAACCCCTACCAGGAGAGCTAACAAGAAATCGACCAACCGCTCTCCCCCCAACCAAAGGACGCATTCCGGTTCTGACATGCTGTGACACTGGGGAAACCGCATACCGAAGCACGAAGCACGTGCACGCATGCCCACCCCTTCATCTGCAAGGAAGCGGCCTCGCCTGTCTTCTGCCCCAGTTTTCTGCGATCACGCAGGCATGTGGCTTTAACTGCAATCAGCAGCCCAGTTGATGGGAGAAGCAATTTGCATCTCCTCTTCTCCGTCTGGGTCTCCCCATTCTGGAAGTCTACACTCAAGGTCCGGTGCTTTCCCAAGCTCAGAGCATGCTCAGAAAGACCCCAGCAAGGCAGGAGAGATTCTGGCAACTTCGGAATATAGCCCACCCCCAGCTCGAGAAACCCCCCTCCCTGCCACACAGTAAGGCAGGGATGACAGGCAACCGCAAGCTGGCAGGGCCACAAGGGTGCCAAGCTGCCCTTCAGGGATAGGATTCTGTGCTCCAGGTGGCGTGTGCAGGCCCAAGAAAGGAATGCAGGAATAGGGTGTTTGGGCCTAGGCTGGGGCAAGTGCCAAATCACCCCTGAAGGAGGCCAGTGCCCTGAGCACCACTGGAGGACAAAGCCATTCTCAAAGACAAGCCCACCTCCCGAGGGACCCCCTTCCTAGAGGCAGGCTTTCTCTGAGACTCGTGCACTTACTCTACACCCTGTTCCAGTCTTTGGCTTCTGGGAGAGGCTCCCTTGAACCATGATCTGGCCTGGTCCCCAGTCCGCCAGATCCTAAACACCCCATCATATCTACAGCCACAAGCGCTGTCCCTTCCTGCCCTCCTGTCAGCCTGGCCACCACCCTGCCAAGTGCTCCCCCCTACTCTTACTTCCACAGCATTAAAGGGGAGACCCCTCGGCCTGCAGGGGCTACCCAAGCACCTCTGCTGGGTGGCTAGAAAAGGTTGATGGTACTCTGTGGGGTTGCACAGTCTTCTAGGAAGTCCTTGGCACAGACATGTCAAGTCACGGTATCCCAGAAACTAGCTGTGCCCCCAGCCTGGACGCCAGTGGAGGGTAACAGCTCTTGAGTCAGCAGAGCCCTAGTCTCCCAATGGGGGTATCTCCCTGATCTATGGCAGACTCTGAGGTGCGACTGTGTTATGCCTGCAGGAAACCCTATGGGTGACTCGTGTGTGTGTGTGCACGTGTGTATGCTGATGGGAGGGGCACCCACAAATTCTCACTTGAGACGCTCTAAAGCCCCCAAAGGAGCTTAGAGACAACAGCTCTCAAAGAAAAAGCCTGGATCCCCAGGTCAGTGACAGGTGCTTGCTTGCAGAAGGATCTGCTTTTAACAAGCCTCAGGCGGTTTCAGCTGGTTTCCATTTTGAATGCCGTCTGGACAAACTCCTAAAAGAGCTCTGTCAGAAATATTTTCTATGGGTGACTGGAATCAGGTCTCTTCCCAAGAGCTGGCTGTGTTACAAGGCAGGTCCTGAGGGTCTGCTCCTCCAACCCGCAGGCATGGGCACCCAGGCAGGCAATAACATAGTGGCCCCTAGCAGTGCAGCACCCATCTTACACACATGCCTCTCAGGAAGGCCCAGAGACAGCCCCGTAGCCCATGGCAACCAGGAGCCAATAGGTGGCCAAGGATCTGGTGCTGCCATGACAATAAGCTCTATTCCAGGGGTAATGGAGAGAATGAAGAGTGAATGGGGGAAAGGCCTGCACCTGGGTGAGAACCCCAACGCCCCTCCCCCACCCCGACTACCACTCAACTGGCAAAGCCCATCCATCCTTGGGACAGACCACAGACTCTGGGAACACAGGGTAGGTAGCCCTGCTGTCCTGAGTGCTCTTACGCATGTAAAGGCAGTCTATGTATTGTGAGTTGGTGTGTGTCCAGGTATAGAGCTGTTCCAAGTGGATTTCTGAGTCCCTGATAGATAGGAGTCGTACCTGTGAGGGCACTGCGGGTGTCAGGTATTGTCCAAATACAGGATGTGTATGGGCGCAGGGAGTAGAAGTACACCTGCGTGAGACCAAGAATCAGCGTGTGTAGAGACGTACGGGGTGCATGTGCCTATGAGCGGCCTGTGCTCTTGGTTCAGAATAATTGCCTCCAGGAATTCATGCTCTGCGTGTGTGAACAGACCGGCAGGAGCCTCTCTGGCCCGATGCACCCACGGGGCGTGCGTGCCTGCAGCTGCACGAGTGTCTGTCTACAGCTATACCGGCGTGTGACCGGGTGTGCGGGGCCTAGGAGGGGGCTCAGAGCAGTGCGCTCCCTCCCCGCGCGACCACATGGCGCTGCCCGACCCAACACGGCCCACACAGGCCCAGAGCACTGGCCCCTTCCAGCAACCCCGGCGGAGGAGTGATGGGGCAGGGCAGGCCGGGTCAGTCCAACGGGGGCCCAAAGTTGGGGTAGAAAGGCCCTGCGCCTCCAGCCCGCGCCCGCAGTGTGGGATGGGATGAGTACAGGGGCCCTGCGCCCCGGGTCGGGGTGGGGGGCGCCGCTCGCCCAGAGCGCTGGAGGGGCGTGGGCCAAGCCCACGCCCCCGAGCTGAAGGAGAGGTGGGACCGGCGTCCGCGTACCTGTAGGGAATCCAGTCGGAATGCGGCTTGGAAGTCATGTCTCCCGGGGGCGGGGCGGCGGCTGCGGCTCTGGAAGCCCGGGCCCGCGGGGGACGGCGCGGGGGCCCTGCTCAGTTCCCTGGCCGCCCCGGGCCGCATCCTCCCGGGCTGGGGCGCTGGGCCCCGCCGAGGCCCGCGCTGCACGCCAGGGCCCCGGCCGCGGGCTCGGCGAGCGGCTGTGTGCGCGGCGCGATGGGCGAATTGGCGGAGTGCGCGGGGCCGCAGCGGGCGTGCGCGCGCGTGGAAGCAGGAGAGGCTGGCCCGCACCGCCGGGCGCCACTGGAGGGGCTCGGTCCCGCGCCGAGGGGCCCGACCGCTGCGTGGCAGCGGCCCGCCCCCGCCCCCTCGCCCCGCCCCTGGCAGAGACCCCACCCCCGGCCGGCGCCGGCGTTCCGAACGCCCCCGCCCCCGCTCCTTCCCCGAAGCCCCGGGGGCTCCCGCGCGGTACACGTGACCGCGCCCGCGCCCACCCCGGGCTAAGGCCACTGCGGCGGGGCGGATCCCCAGACCCCTAAGCCTCAGTTTCCTCTTCTGTGAAGCGGGGATATTTCCAACTCCTAGCTGCCTGCCTGGCTTACCTATCTTCACTAAGAGATGGGAACCACCGCTTAGATGGGGGGCAGGGGAGAGGAGCAGTGGGTGGGGAGGGGATCCTTGGGGGGCAGGAAGGGGCTGAGGCCAGAAAAGAGGTCTCGGGGAACCTGCAGGTGCAATGCCTGTGAGGCTGGCCTTCCTTTCTCTGCCCCTTCCAGTCCCCCATCTCCATCCTCACAGGCCCCAGGGGAACCTTTTTTTTTTTTTTAGCAAGGGAGCTGCTTTCTCAAAGCCGTTGGTCTTTCTGCTCTAAGCTGTAGCAGTCAAGAGAAGAACAACGTATGCTATTGCATTCCCAGTCCGTAAAAATTTATATTATTTAAGCTCCACAACAGCCTTGAGAGGCAAGTATTTTATTCCTATTTCCAGAGAATAAAGCATCCGTAATGCTAAGATTGCCAAGGATACTAAGCTACAAAGCTATGGAGCTGAAATGGAACCAGGGCCTCAGTCCTCCAAAGCTCTTCTAGGGGCCACACTTAAAAGGAGGTGGAAATTTTCAAAAAAGGTCATCTTAAAGTCTTTGAGTGCCGAGGAGGTCTTGGCTGTGATTCACACCAACTCTAAAGTAAGCCATGCTAGATGACGTGAAGGACAATGAATCCCCAGCAGGGGAGGAGGGAACCGGAGATGGGGCGGGGCTCTGCTGAGGGGCTCAGGCTCCACACTCCCGGTGGGTATCCTCACCAGCACCCTGGAGTTAGCAGCATAGAGACCCTGCAACCATGCAGGTCCATGTGGGGATCCTCTGGTGTGAAACAGGCCATCAGGACAGCATGACTGGGTGGGAGAGAGTGTGAGAAGAACCAGCTGGGCTGAGAGAGGGCCCCATCCTGCTGCCCTAGGTCCATAGCCAGGACTCCCCACCCCAGGACTGTCCCAGCCTTTCTGCCTGGCTTGGCCTTCCCCATTAACTACGAAAACAATAACCAGAATGTCCAGAGCGTTTGCTGGGCTCCAGGTGCTCTCTACACCGTAACTCCTTTCATCCTCACAACTACCCTAGCAGGTGGAGGCTCTCATCATACCCATTTCACAGCAGAAAAAAACTGGGACACAGAAAAGGCAAAGATCTTGTTTGAAGTCCGAGATGTTCAGTGGTGAAGCTAAGATTCGCACAAAGCAATCTGGGCCCACAGCCCTTGCCGTTAGCCTCCTTCCTGCCTAGCTCGATTCATGCAGTGCACATGCCACACACTGGGTCTCTTTCTTCAGGTTTCTGGAGCACAGGACAGAATGGCTCCATCTCTGTCTGGCACAGCATCAATACTCTCTGAAGGCCATGACCTCTGGTTATTTACCAACCTCCAAGAGCTATCACTGTCCCAGTGGACAGAGAGTAGACAAAAGGAATCACCCCTGAGTGCGGTGCAGGGGGCCGAAAGCAGGGCTGTTTCCTTGCCTGCTGGGACACTTGGCATGGGCCTCGGTTCCACCAAGGGTTCCCAGGAAGGTTAACAGAAAGGGACTGGCCCCTGCTTTGGAGGTCAAAGCACTACCCTGAGGGCCTCTGTCCTTTAGGACGGGAGGACAGAACCTTGCCTAGCAACACAAGGCTGGTCCCATCCTCCAGGCCACATTTCCACAAACTACAGTCAACAGCTACCACTTCAGTGAGGACTAGAGGCTAGAAGACTTCCCCTTCAAGAATGTGAATGCTTTCCCCATTTATTCCCAAATCATCTGACACCTTAAAGCAATCAGAATCAAGTTGGAAGGTCTCAGGAGCCTAAAGTAATTGAATCTATTAAATAGATACTTCAGGTTCTGTCCTAAGAGAGCAAAATCTGGAGGCAGAGTGAGGTGCACAAATAAGACAGCTCCCCATGTCTCTTCCTGTAGAGGCTGTGCACGTGCCAATGGGATGTGTGGGAGCCAGTGGGACTGTGTGCCACATACCCATGAGTGTGCATGAGTGTGTGTGGTGTGCCTGCTGCTGAATGGGTCTGCACAAGAACATTTGTTGGATGGCGTGCTGGTGGGCATGGGCATGGGGAGGATATCAGTATGTGCCTCTGTGAGTTCTAAAGGGTGTGTAAGTCTTCACACTCAACTCAGACCTGGCAATGGGTTTTCCTGCTCAAAGAGCTTCCCTGGTTGACATTTTAAGGGTATGCCCTTGGCTTCCATCAGAAAGCCACATGAGGTAGATTGCACTGGGCCATGGTTAGACCACAACTGTGCTATAGGGTTACCTTGAGAAAAGGCCTAAGCTTTTTAAATTTAGCCTGCAGAACCAAGTGATCTCCACCAAAATCCCACCACATAGCAAACCCAACGCCTGCCTCACCACCTGCCCAAACTCTGCAAGGATGGACTGAAATTCTCCTTGTTGCCTTTTAGGTTTTCTTTCTTTCTTTCTTTCTTTCTTTCTTTCTTTCTTTCTTTCTTTCTTTCTTTCTTTCTTCTTTCTTTCTTTCTTTCTTTCTTTCTTTCCTCCTTTCTTTCTTTCTTTCTTTCTTCCTTTCTTTCTTTCCTCCTTTCTTTCTTTCTTTCTTTCTTTCTTTCTTTCTTTCTTTCTTTCTAAGATTTTAGGGGTGCCTGGGTGGCTCAGTCATTAAGTGTCTGCCTTCAGCTCAGTTCATGATCCTGGGTTCCTGGGATCCAGTCCTGCATCCAGCTCCCTGCTCAGCAGGAAGCCTGCTTCTCCCTCTCCCACTCCCCCTGCTTGTGTTTCCTCTCTTGCTGTGTCTGTCAAGTAAAAAAATTAAAAAAAAGCTTTTTAAGTTTACTTGTCAGAGAGAGACAGCAAGTGCACAGAGAGCAGCAGGCTTCCTGCCAAGCAGGGAGCCTGATGGAGGGACTCGATCCCAGGATCCTGGGAACATGACCTGAGCCGAGGGCAGATGCTTAACTGACTGAGCCACCCAGGCGTCCCACCTTTCAGACATTTTCAAACAGGACCACAGTTTGTGAGGGGAGTGCAAGAGTTTAGGCCAAAGGAGACCCTCCCATCTGCTGCCCCAGCTGGAAGACCCCAGTGCGAGCTCCTCCAGGCAAGACGGGTTCACCCAACAAAGAAGGTTCACACCTTCTTTTGGCACCTTGCCACTTCCATGTGCAGGTTTAAATTTTCTGTTTCTAATTTAACAGTTGTATTGAGTGTGGCCCACCTCTAATCAATTTTGGATGCAGCAGGATATGAACAATAAGTGAGTATCTACCCAGATTGGGCAGCCAGTCCCAGGGTGCCCCGCCTCGGAGCTTGGAGCTCCGTGTTGCATCCCTGCGGGCTGAGGAAGGCGATGGGCTCGACAAGCCCGGGCTCGCAGGTCCATGCAGGGCTCTGGCCGGCGTCAGGCCCGGTTCTGTTCTCATGGAGCTTTCAGTCTGACAGGAGAGACGCCAAGCCCCCAGGTGCTAGGGTTACACAACACATGTGTACAAGATGCTGGGGACACAGAGGAGGGGCAGCCAGTGGTAGCAGGGGGAGGGAGTCAGGGTAGGACAAATCTGCCCTGAGAGGGAAAAAGATGACATTTGAATTGGTCCAAAGGATGAGTAGGATTTTGATAGACTGTAAGAAAGGAAAGGGGATGCTTACCAGTTACTGAGAATCTACAACTGGCCCAGGGCCAAGCTGGGTTCTTTTACCAAAGGGCGTTCTAGACATAGAAGGTGACATGACCAAAGCTACGAGGATATGAGAACATGTGACCAGAGCAGCTGATAACCAAAATGCAAACCCATGGGGTAGCACAGAAGTGAGTGGTTCCATGTGGCCGGAGAAGGGCCTAGAAAGTTAAGGTAGGGCCAGATCACACGACACCCTGAACCCCAAACGCCAGGCTGAAGAGTTTGAACTTTATCCTACAGCCCACAGGAAACCACTAAAGGGTTTTAAGCCAAGAATGACATGCCCAGGTGTACTTTCAGCAAGATCTCATCAGGAGCAAATGGAGGACAGAGGGAGATAAGGCCAGACGTATTGACAACGGCTAGCTGGGTAATGGGAAAGTCCAGGACAGAGATGAACAGGCCTGAAACCAGAGCTCTGTGCTTTTTCAAAGCTGTTGAGCTGACATGATGGCAAATGGCAGCCTAAGTGTGGACGGCTGATAGTGCCCTCCAAAATCCTCGTTTAAATAACCGTGGACTATACAAAGTCCCATTTCCCACTGCCCCATTTCTACCTGGCTCAGGGGAGATGAACAGGCTTACTGATGTATTTGAGAGGATGTAAGGTAAGCACTCGCAGAACTAAAAGCAATAGGCCTATTTTCCAAATAACTGCAGGAGATAATAGTAAATTCAAATCTCTAACTCCACCACCATCATCACCACCACAAGCAGAGTCGGAAGAAAACGTAACATTGGGATAGAGCCAAATGTAAAAGTGATGGAGTGAGTATAAGTGGGGGTCCTGTGAGTGGGATCACACACGACCATCACTGGTTGAGTGCACGCTCTGGGCCAGGCACCCCTCCCTGGGTTTCACAGGAAGCAAATATGGGCAAGAGGATGACAAAATGCAATTCTCTGGTCGAGGTGCAGAGTGAAGAGATAATGCATCGTCAAGTGCGATGGGACAGCCCTGACCAAACAGGACTTGGAAGCCAGATGGTGGAAACCTGGGTCTGTACCATTAGCCAAAGTCTACCTCTAAATTGTTAGAGGCTGGGGGAGAGTTTTAGAGAGAGTCTCCGGGTCCAATAGACCCTCCATGGAAGCAGGGAAGGCTACGTGGCCTTTGCCTCAAA